AGCCTCAGGGCCATTTCTCAATTAATTTATAACAACCTGGAAATTAGATATTCTTCTGGCTTCATCACAAACAGGACTAAACACTAAAGGCGTTCCTAAAGAGTACCAAATAAATATTGACTGTGTCTGCTCTCCATAGATCCCATCTTGACTATTTTTCACAAGTGATGTTATCTCAATTACTTGTCTAGGAAGTGCCCATCTAGAAGACTCCATTGTCTCTGAACCACCAGACTGTTCAAACTCATCTCTCACTCTCCACACATGTACCCTGATCACCCAGGGAAGGGATGGAAGTTGCTTTCTACAGCTCAGAGATATTCCTGTCCCTACACCAGTGGATCTAGTTTCAGATCTGTCTCCCTCAACCTAAGTATTTTCTCCCACAACAGTCAGTCCAAACCAAATGAAAAAAACTTCTGGGTAAAAAAAAAAAAAGATACAAGCACCTCCCAAAAATAATCACTGAATCATAGAATGGCCCAGGCTGGAGGTGACCTCAAAACATCATCAAGTCCAGTCTTTCATGGAGAAGGGAGCCTTGACGAGATTATGTAGTACCCAGTTCAGTGACATCTTGAAGACCTCCAGCTCTAGCTGGTTCCTTGGGGAGCTTGTTCCGGTGAGTGACTGTTCTCAGCATAAAAACTGTTTTTCATATAAAGATGAAACCTCTCCTTGAGCAATTTGTACTCATTGCCACTTGTCTTCTCCATGTGGGTCCTTGAGAAAAGAGAGCCTCTTTGTAGTAACCCTTTAAGTGCTGGACTACTCTGCTAAGGTCTCCCCAAAGTCTTCTCCAGGCAGAAAAGACCTAACTGGTTCTGTCTTTCTTCACAGGGTGGGCTCTCCAGCCTTTTGGTCATCTTGGTAGCCCTTCTTTGGACCCTTTCGAATCTGACTGTGTCTTGAATTGCATAGACCAGGAGCAAACACAGTATTCCAGGTGTGTGGCCTGGCCTCTAATGGGTTCTTGGTTATATTGTCCCAGGTGCAGGACCTTGCCTCTTGTCTTGTTAAATAAACCTCATACAGTTCTTGCTAGTCCACTCTTCCAGCCTTTCCAGGTGTCTTTGCAAGACTACTGTCACTTCTCACATGTCCACCTCACTACCCAGTTGAGTGTCATCAGCAAACTTGGGGAGGGAGCTTTCAACCTTGTCTTGTTTGTTTTAAGCTGTTTCACTACACAAACCTGCCTGACCACAAAACAAAAGCCACAGAGCTGGCAGGAGGGAGGCAGCAGTGACATCTGGGCTGGGATATCTGACTGCTACTGAGTCACAGGCAAAGCCCCAGGTTTTGGTTACTGTAAGTTTATCTCATTGCTTGGAAACACATTCTGCCAGCTGAGCACTTAAAAGCAAGGAGTGCTGTGACACTGAGGGCTTCCTTTGCCTGCTCTGGGTGTTAGTGCCCAGCCAAAACAAGGAAGTGGTCAATCAAGACAAAAAGTCGTATGAATCAGTCCTGGAGCACATTTTGTGTGGGATTACTGATTGTAAACAATAATAGTGACCTGCTGTTGGTACAGTACTTTGTACAACAAGCCATGCTCTTGTCTGGAGGTTTCCTATGGCCACTCTTATGCAAATAACAAGTCATGATAATACCATGTTTATCACAACACTAAGTCAACCATAATGACTATAAATGTAACCTGACCTTCACTTTGGCTAAACCCTATTTCTTTCATGGTTATCTCATATCTCAGTATATATTTATTTCCCTATTTTGTCTATCTGTTGCCTGTTCTTTTATTTTCCATACTCTGCCTCACACAAGAGGCTCTGAACTTTAACCATGGAGCTTTCTATGTCTACTGAAATTCAAGTAAAAACCAGATAGCTTCCCATCAGTCTATGTTTTGAGTTTTTTGTTTTTTGGTTTTTTCTGACTGCTCCATTCTACCAATTCATATCAAATCCAGGACACATACAGAGAAAAAGAAAAGACAGAACAAAAATGAAAACTGTTTGTGAAAAAAGTCCAAATCAGGTGAGTAAGACCCTCTTTGATCACAGCTGCTTAGTTCAGTGTGTCAACTCTCAGCTATATGCAGTAGCAAATACAATAAGCACATTCTGTGAGAAGAAACACGAATTTTGGCCTGTAACACAAGGCAAAGGAGTCAGACTGGCAAGAGGAGTTTTATGAACATGGGCTTGTTCTCGTGGCTCTGTTTTGGGCAGCATTACCAGCATACTGATACTGACAGCTGGATGTGTCACCCTCCACTGAGGCAGGAGGATGATAGAAGAAATTAGAAACGCACATAAAATACTGTTTTGCTACATTAAGTACTAACCAGAAATGTCAGTATCACATGGTAATTAATGATTAATGCTGGGGGAAGGAGATGCATACCTGACATATTTTTAAACTGGTATAACGAGTTTTCACCAAGCAGAGGAGGGAAGTTCTCTATAATACACAGTAATGGGCTGTGTACTTGGAACTGTGCTCCATAAATTTCCCCACCTTCAGGACAGAATGTGTCAACACACAGCTGGTCTCCTAGAATAAACTCAGTGCCAGGACTAGTAATCAGTAATGCTGAAGAATGAGGAAAGAGGGAAAAAAAACCATACAAATGGTTATCAAAAGGACAAAAAACTCTTTTGGACTCACCTGTTGACAGGGCACATTTTTAATGTGAGACTACACCTGATACTACATGGTGATAAGAGTAAATCAAGAAATAAAGAAAATAACACTGTGGAGCTGATAAAGCCCTGTAACTGTAAAATCTTCCTCAGAATGATGTCCTACTTAGTAAGGAGAAATTTAGCTCAGGCAGGTTGAATTAGCATATAATACATTGCAAAAATAATACATTGACGTTATCTAACATTCTACCTTGAAGAATCTCAAAGCACTCTCCCTCAGTGTATTGATGTTCCCATACTGGAAATCTGTAAAGTACAAGCTTGCCTTTAAGTACATTTTTGAATTAAATGTTCCCAGAACAGAGATGCTCTCCTTAGCTGGGGTGTCCAAGCTATATGCAATAGACACCACTCCCACTTTGCTCCTTGATGAAATAAGGAGCTTTCCTCTCCTGTGCTGTTGTGTAAGAGTTGTTACACAGGACAGGCTTATGATCCCACACCAAGCTGTTGCCAGAGCCAAGAATAAAAGAGAAAGATGGGATTCATTTAGCCTAACATCAGCAAGCTCTAAACTGGACCCCCAGACAAGAGAGACACACAAGACTCAGGTCAGGTTTCACCACTACAACCACTAGAGACAGGTTTTCTCACAGTGTGGTTTGTCCAGCCTCTCTTCCACTGGCAGAAAGTCTCTCTCTCTTGGCTGTAGAATGACCAAAAAGCTTGGATTAGGCACCAGCTTCAACATAACCAAAAATTACATAACTAGATTCTTAATAATTTGCTTTCCTCCTGGACAGTGTTCCTGTAGCTTTGAAGAACACTTGAAAAAAAAAGTTACACACTGGGAATGGTCTTAACTTGTCAACCCTCACTGACCCACGTTGTATAGCTCCCCCTTCCCTGTTCTGTAATGCCATTTATTTGGATAGGCCCACATCTTTTTAAAACATTTCCATCCTCCACACTTTAAGGTACTTCTTGTGTTAGGAATATTTCAGCCACCACAGCATGGGTGAAAAATAATGATTTCTGAAAGCAGCTTGAAATTTTTACAGTGCAATAGAATTCGAACTGCTAATTTGCTGGCTGCTGTGGCCTTGCACATTGAAGAAGGGAGTGGACACAATCACCTGATAAATACCTGTGACTGTGACAATACATTAGTAATAAATAAGAGTACAAATAGGCAATATTTGTTATTGAGCTCTTAAGTATATGGGTGGCACGGATTAACAAGGCATGTAAACCTTTTCCCCACTGAGGAGGCAGACTCAGGCAGTCATGACAGTGATTTTTCTCATTTACCTTCACCATTTCCCAGCAGTTTAGCAGAGGGACAAGCCCCTCAGACACCAGATACAACAGTTTATGCCTCACAGAATCATAGAGCCATAGAATGGGTTGGGTTGGAAGGAAACCTTGAAGATCATATGTGGGTCTCAGATTCAGTCAAAGAAAGAAATTGAGAGTTTCTAGCCAGGCAAAAGCCTGCGAAAGAGCTGGAAAAGAATGTAAATAATTCTTTATCTCTCTTGTTCTCACACTGTTTATAGTTAAGTTCTATCACTGTGCGTCAAGCACTCTGAACCAATGTTGTAGCTTGTTTTCACTTCAGAACCAATGGATTTAACCTTTGCAAAGCTCTGTATAAAAGAGCAGTGTATTTTGAATAAATCGGAGTTTTACTCTCATAGCCTTCTGAGTGAGTCTTCTCATTCCCGTCCTGCCTCGACAGCGACAATAATCCAGTTCCGATTCCCTGCGACAGGCACGGACATCTTCAACTAGACCAGGCTGCTCAGAGCCCCACCGAGCCTGGCCTTGAACACTTCCAGGGATGGGGCAGCCACAACTTCCCCTGGCCATGATCGGGGCAGGTTTTACCTCAGGGTTCTCTGAAGCAGCCAAAGGTGTCACTGTCCCCTGTCCCACTGGGGCCACCATGGCACGCAGCTCTCTGCCCTCACAGGGTGCCTGTGGAGACCCATGTCCCCCTCACACTGGAGGGACACTGAATCAGAGTCGGCCGGGTCGGGAGCAAACTCAGCAGTGAAGCACAGGATTTTGTCCAGACAGTTCTGGAGTATCTCCGGTGAGGGAGACTCCACAGCCTCTCAGACAATCTGCTCCAGTGCTCGGTCACTGCTCAGGACAGAAATTCTCCCTCATGTTCAGGTGGAATTTCCTGGGCATCAGTTTCTGCCCTTTCCCTCTCGTCCTTCTGGGTGGCACTACCGAGCAGAGCCTCTGACACCTCCCTTTAGATGCTGATAGACATTGATGAGCTCCTATCTCAGTCACCTCTTCCCGAAGCTGATCAGGCCCATCTCCCTATTTCCTCACAAGTGAGATTCTCCAGACTCCTGACAAACTTCGTAGCTCCAACACACTGAGCTCCTCTCCTTGCTACCCCCCCAGCCGCCTTTCGGAAGGGCAGGCTCCAGCCCTCATGCCCTGCCCCGAGCGCCGGGACAAAGGCGGCGGTCCCGCCCGGGCGAGGCGGAGCCGGGCCGGGCCGAGCCACCGCCCGGCCGCTTTATCCGCCCGCCGTGGGTGGCGGCCGGCGCAGTGCGCATGAGTTCGGGGCGGCTGCTCGGCGGAGCTGCTCCGACCACCTGCCCGTCCTCCGCCGGGGTTTGTTCCACCCTCGGCTGGGAGCGGCGCGGACCCCAAAGCCGGTGAGTGCCGCCCGTCCGCGGGGGGCTCCCCTGGCCGTGCGCGGGCTCCCGGCCGAGGGGGGCTCCGCTCCCCGGGGCTCGTCCCCGCCGGGGCTCGGGTCGCTGGCGTGAGGGGCGAGCTCGCCCCGCTCCGCCCGCCCCCGGCTCGGTCTCGCTGAGGGGAGAGGCCGCGGAGCTGCGCGCCCCTGCCAGCCCGCCACGGGAGCGTTCGGTGTTGCTCTTATTACTCACTAATGGATTTTTAATTATGCTTCCCTCCTGTTCCAAGAGCAGTGGCGGCCGGGACGCCGGGTGCTCCGTGCGCTGGGTGGCGGCGATACCGGGGGCAGGGGACAGGGACCGGCATAGCCCCGCAGAGCAGCTTTGGGCTTGCGTTAGTTTTGGTACACGGCGGGGAGGACAAAAACTATCAGCGAACTGCTGCCCTGCCGTGTGTGGGGCTTGGCTTCCCACTGTTGAGCTGTTAAGAATTTTTTTTACCCCTTGTTCTTCCCTAGCATAACCTAAAATTTTCTTCTGCTTATCGGTGACTTTAAGAAAATATATTTAAGCAAAGGTTTCATACCTGTAAAACTTTGATGTATGCTGTTCCTGCCTGACTAAGGGTGATGAGGAGCAGCTGCCTTGTGCCTCCACTTTGCTTTCCTTGTCTGCAATTTAGGATTTCCAGTGGAAAAGCTGTTGGTGTAAAGAGTAGCAGGTGTTAGTTCAGGATACTTTTTCCCCTTCCCCCTCCAGGTGCCTTTTCCATCTGGAGGTGATAAGCATGAGATAGCTGGTGCTTCTTAAGATCTTAGGTGGTTTGGGTGAGGTTTAGTGCCTGTAAAGAAAAAGCACAGCCTTAAAAACACTCTTGGGATTTTCAGTAATCCAGGATCTCAAGGGCATGTTTCCTGAATAGTTTTTGTTTTAGTGTGGCAGCGAGAGGAGGTTGCTGGAAGTGGAGCTCTCTTGTGCTTGGTCCTGTGCAAGGGTGTAGCAAGAGATGATTCCTGTGGTAACAAGCATGCAGATGCAATACGAAGGAGATAAGACAGCCTCTTCCGAATTTTTCCAAACATTTTCCAAGGATTTTAAGCTATAGCAAGTATCAGAAATGTAACAGTTATTTCCTTTCCCCTCTCTTTTATGAAAGACTTCTTTCTAAACCCTAAAGCATAAGTTTTAGCTTTAAAAGCTTTTGCAATTTCTGGCTTAAGCTATTAAAAAGGTATTATTTTAAGACTTTGATACAGATCCTTGACTAATGCAGCATTGTAGATGGCCTTCCTTGTACTGGCACTACTTTAAAGAATTATGATTGTGGCTTTTCTCTTTCCTTTGCAGGAATTACTGTTGTATAAGGGGGGAGCTGATGTTTAAACAATGAAAGGGGAAAAAAATGTTGCTTGCTTGGGTCCCTAAGAAAGGAAGATACTGCTTATTTCTCAGAATTGGAATAGATTTTCCCAGCAGTGTCTTTCTTATCAAGGATTTGTTTGGGGGTTTACGATACGGAGTGAATGAGTAGACTTAATTTTTATGACTAGAAATACAAGTAATGCCTGGCATTAGAAAAGAACAGAGAGATTTATATATTGCATCTGTTTTGTCAGTAGTAAAACTTCTGTCATCCTGTTAGTTATAGCTGCTTTTTCTCTGCATGCCTCTGAGAGAAATATTAACTAAGAATGTTGGCAGATGGATTGCCGGTTGGATATAGTAACTGGAACAACTTAACTCCTGAGCAGTTGACAAGTCTCAGGATGACTGACCTTCTGAAATACTGGAGCATGAAAATAAATGAGCATATGAATGTGGCTTTCAAAGCCAGCCAGACAGGCTGTTACTGTTACCAAACCCTCTCTCCTCCTTTTTTTTTTTTTAATTAAAAAATAAAAGCAAGTGATTTTAATTTCCAGTATAACTAACTGCTTAAATATATTCTTTTCAGTTGGGTGTGTATGGATGATCCCTGTACCAAGTAAAGTCCAGGGCCAAGACTCTACTGCTCTTTTTTGCTAGTGCTGTTTTCAGCTTTGTTTACCTTGGGCAGGCAGACCTTTATGTACTTACATAGGAATGATATGTCCAAAATTAGTTCATTTTTAAAGTAAACACCTATGCTTTGTGCTTCAGATGTCCTCTGCTTTCTTCCCCACACCAGCACAGCAGTCACAAAAAGAAACATAGAAGAGCAGCCTAAAATCCAGTTGTGAGACTGTGACACAGCTGTACTGGGGCTGAAAATTGTCTTGCTATCCTAAATACTGTGTAAAACAGGATTTGGCTCACCATTGCTATGACTGTAGCAGCAGTTACATAATGAAACCCTAAACCCCAGCAATGCTGCACTTGTAACAAGACAGAAGTTGACTAATTACAGAGGCGGCTGTGCCTAAAATTGTTTATGTACACTTCATGGTTCTAAAGTGTTGGCTGTCACAGATAGCACCACCCTGATGTTAACAGGAGAGATTTAAAAAGTGTAACTTGAAAAGAATGGGACGCTTTCCTTGTTGAAATTTGCATGAGGCAAATTGAAGTCAGAGGAGAGCTCAGCCATCACCTGGATGTGTTTAAAGTCCCATGTAGGACTGGAGAGGCAACTCTGGGTATCACATGCAGTTCTCCCACTGAGCAGGTGCCGGTTATCAAATCTCAACTGGAGAGTCCCAGTGAGAGCCTTATCTTTGCCCTTAGGTAAGACCTTAATCTACAGAAAAGTAACTACTTGTCACTGGCTGTGGTTTTATTTTTAGTTGGGGCAGGAAGTGATTCTGTCACTCTCAATGAGTGGGAAATGTGAGCACTGCAGGGATCTTTGGTGGTTTCATCCACAATGTTGTGTAGGAGCCTTTGCCACTGGCCTTCATTTCAGGCAGCAAGATTCAGCTGATGCTGCTGCTGATGTAGTGAGCTGGGGACAGAGTTTATTTGCAAGGGAAAAGGCGAAGATGTGTGGACACATGTTTTCCCATCTTGAGGGTGGATGAATGTGCTTAGCATCATCAAATCCTGCTGGTATTTCACTGCCTTAAGAGAAGGAGCATTTCCCAAACACTGCAGAGAGCAGTATGAGGTAGTGATGAGCTGTGCACTTGTGCTAGCTTCGTTGTATGGAACGAAGTCTCTGAACCATAGGGTCTCAAAGCAGTAAAAAAAGGATGATCCTGAAAATCTAGAAAGACCAGTTAAGAATGAAGCACAGTATGGAATCCTCATTTTCTGGTATTATCAGGTTTGGATTAATGTGGTCAAAGGTGTGTCCTTTCTGAGCAAAGCATGACTTGGAGAATTCAGTGTAGTAGTTGAATTATTACTTGGGTGATGAAAATGTTGGTTTGTGATTGTTTCCTTTCTTTTTAAGTGGTTGCTACATTTAAGTTGAGATCCAATTCACCAAACCATTTAAGCGTGTGATGGAATGTCCTAGTGAAGTTAGATTTAAATTTTACTGAATTGGTGCCTTGCCCATCTAGTTCTTTCAAAAATGTATGTACACAGGATTAGTTATTTCACTGTTGGCAGCTCTCACAAATTCTGGTGCGAGTTGTATGAATGACATTCAGTGTGTTTCTTGAGGCTCCAACTTCCACATTTAGAGGACTAAGAGAATCTTTGTTTTTAGCTCTAAAACTAACGGATTTTGTAGCTTCCCAGCCTGTAAAGGAAAGTTTGAATTGTCACAAGTGTGCCATAGAAACTTTGAAACAAAATACTGGGGTTACATGCATTGGGTTCTGGGAGACTTGCATGGTTGTTGTCACTCTATAATTACTTTGATGTGTTGCATATCTGTCATGGGCTGCCATGAGAGTCCTCTGAGTTCACACTTGGCTAAACATTGTTCAGTCCTACTTGTCACCTGTTCTGCAAATCAATATTGATGTCCAAGGAAATGTCTATAAAAATGCTGTTGGTCTGGCTCTCATTTAGTAGACCTTACTGTCGTGGCTTCTGTGTGTATGGTTTTTTTGTTTGTTTGTTTTCTTTTTCTACTAATGGTCAGCAATTCTATACTGTGGTGACAGTCTCTCTCTAAACAAGGGCAGGAATGTTTCTGGCTTACTGGATGTTAAATAACTGTTTCGAACACATGGGATTTTTCATGAGCAGATAAAAACTATGAATCATACTCACTGTTATCACAAGTTTCTACACTTATGATATGGAGAAGAAAAGTCAGAATTTAACATGTTGGCCAGTTTTGGTTTACCTTGGTTCCTAAACACCAGCTATTGTCTGTTGTTACTTCAGTTTCATTTCTGTATTATTATATCTGTTATTTCAGTTTCTTTCTGTAAGAACCGCTTATAAATTTACTGTCTGATTCTGTGGAGTTTTTATGTGTTCAGCAAAACCTCATCAGTTTATCATGTATACTCCTGGAATTAGTCAACTTGCCTGTGAGGTTTGGCCTCTATAGGCAGTACTGTTACTTAGTCTGTTCTACCAGAAAGCTTCAATCTTACTGTAAATCACAAAAGAAGGGTTTCCCCTAAAGCTCAAGGATTTACTCAGTATTTCACATCCTGAAGGAGGTAAGAAGAATTCAGTTGCTGATAGCCCTGTTCACAAGGAGGAAATGTGTCCAGTGTAACTAACCATCAGTTAGTTTTGATGAGTTTGGAACAGCAGTGGCTCAGTGAAGACATGTCATGGGCCAGCTGATTTTGTTCAGCTCTGGTCTTGTACAGCTGGTTCAGAGGTATGTTGCAGGAGCACTTAATACAAGGAAAAATTCATGTGGTTATTAGGCACAAATACCTGACCTGTTTTGGGAAGCCCTGTGGTCTCCTGACCACAGCACGCAGGAATCTCAATGAATTCCTGCTCTCCTTTGCCTTGTTTTACTGCTCTGCTGTCAACTGTCAGAGGCTGATAAAGGTCTCCAGCCTGTCTCTCTACCATCATTTTTATAAAACCCCTCCCATGGTAACACTTCTAATGACCACAGTGTGTTTCCACATGTTTTTTCCAGATGCTTAACTCTCCAAACTCAACCACCACCATGGAGTGCAAGGTGACTGACAGTGTGTGCAGAGCTGAGTGTGTGCACTGCTATGTCAGTGCACAGCTGACAGATTAAACCAATCTTGAAGTTCACTGGCCACTTCTTCTGTTTCGGTCGAATCACTGAGAAAGAGCTGGTTAAGAGCAAAGGCAAAGTCTGTGTGATGCTCAGAGTACAATGAAGCTTAGAAATCTATCTTCAGAAATGTTTCATGCAGAGTGTGTTCTAGAATTTGTATGTATAGTGAAAGGATCAGACTGATCTTGTGCCCTTTTAAAAATGCATGATAATTTTCTAAAAATTGTCAACTCACCTTAAGTATATTGTGCAGTTAATGGCCTGGTGCTGTCTGCTGACTTTTGGCTCCTGGCTTACTTAGCAGGTGATTTCAGCATTTAAATGTCTTGCACTTTTGTGGAATTGATCTTTTTGCCTATTAAGCTAGTCTCCAAACAGGATTGTTAATAAAAAATTCTTTCAATCTCCTGCTACTATAGAAACAGTCCCTTGCAAATGCTAACATTGAGCTTCAATGAAGAAGTAACCTTAGTCAGCAAAACTGTAAAAATATCCTTTTTGAAAGGACAGGCTGCACCTTATCTTTGATGGCAACTTAATACATTCTCTGTGAATTATTTGCCTCTGTCAAAGCAGAATTAAATCTTTGGAGGTGAAGTTCAGTGCTAACTTCAGACTGTTTCAATTTCCTCCTCTACATTTTTCTACTCTCTGAAAAATGTGCATGATATGTGACTTGTATTGTTTTAAGTATCTCAGGAAAGCTATCTCTAGTGTAACCAAGAAGTGATCACTTCACATGATAGAATCACTTCTGTCCTAAGATGCATTTCTGGTTTAATATCTGGAGTCCTCTCTGCAAATAGTACTGTTCCTGTCACACTTCTGTGCTCCCGTGTCATGATCTGATATTTTTTTGTTATTAGTCACTAATGGTACAGGCACACATCTCTTAAGCCAAGCTAAAAAATACCCAGCTACAATGGCTGAACAACAAATCCCATTGTGAGAAACTTTCATATTTAATGCATCTCTGAAGGTCGGGAGGAACAGCTGCCTGTTGTCCTGCTGTTCCTTCTCTCTGAGCAAGATTACCTTATTTTTGAACCCTGCTTGTTACCTTGGCAATCCTACTGAAGCAGTGGGGTCTGGAAATTCATTCGATCCTCGACTGTTTCCATCTTAAACTTTTAAAGTCTTTCACTTAATAGAGATGACATAAAGAGAATGAAGGGACTTGAGTGTTAACCATGGTTAGGAGAGGAATTTGTCTGTAAAACGTGCTGTATGTATTGCAGCAGTGCCGGGCAGCATCACATCAGCTCTGGCTGCCCTAGACACTGTACAAAGGTGTAGGAGTTTCTCAAACATAAAGAACCCAGCAAAGGGGAGAAGGATAATATATATGAATGGATTATGATTTCATTGACATGTACCTTTGATGTGCTAAAGATTATGTAAAAGGTAGAAGGGGAGAAAAAAATCTTCCCCCGCACCTTTTCTGCAGGTTTGCAGATCGTTGAACAGCTCCCAAGCTTTTCTGAAATGAGTAAAACTCCCAGAGAAGCCAGAGCTTCTAACACAAAAGCAGGACCAGTGCTGTAATGTTTGATACTGGCTCTTGTGTGGGTGGCTCTCTGAACCAGTTGCCCTCACTGCCTTTAGTCATTGTTCAGGAGCTTTGTGAAACATCTGAACTGCAGCTCCAGAATGAGTAATGGGAGATTGCTGGGAGCAGAGGTATTTGTTATTATTTAGAATTCTTTACTTTAATGTTTATTGCTGCTGAATCTGGGTGTTCCTTCTGTCCTGAATGCAGATAGCCTACCATGAACTTAGTCCTGGTTAAACTGAGGTATTTATTTCTGCTGTTGGAGAAAGCAGAACAATACTCTTAAATACTCGTCCCTCAAAATCTGGGCCTCTTGATTTGTTTCTTGTTGATATCAACTAATATCTTCTCCTGGTTAGTATTTAAACATGGGTTTTATTTGTGATATTGTAATCTGCAGCAGTGACCTCTCATAATGTAGTCCATAAAATATTCATAGTTTTGAGTGTAGTTCTAGAAATCTCACAGTTGTCTATAGCGTCACTGGGGGACTGAACAAACATGGCATATTCAGTTTATATTGGGGACACCTGGATAAAAATTTAATGCTGCAACTTAAAAGTGCTGAAGAGAAATAACATTTGCCTTGTGTTGAATGTCAGTAGAAGTACTCACCTCTTGCTGGTCTCTTTTCCATCTGAGCATCACCTTGACAGTCATAGGACAGAATCTGAAGTCAGTGGGGTTTTTCTGTGAATTTCAGCGGTGTCAAGATTCTCTGATAATCTCATCTTCTAAAAATTATATATGTATTTGTGTGTGTTTGTTCAAATGTAAGATTTCAGAGCAGTCAAGATTTTCACTGATAATGTTGGCTTCCAAAAATTGTATATATTTTCTTCTGTGGCTGTGTTTGTGGCTTTTCAGCATCACAGGGTTTGTTGTATATGGAGCTGCTGTTGCAGGATATGTTCCATGCTTGGGCTGCTGTTTTCCTGTTTAGCTTTCTGCAGCAGCCAAAGGAACTGCCTCAGTGCTCCTGTGCCTGCCTGTCCTGAGAGTTTGAAAACCAAGACCCATGAGCATGTTTCTACTTCTCTGGGCATCACTTAAAGCCCATTATCCTAAGGATGCATTGTATTACTGATAACTAAAGTTCTTAATAGAAAAAAAGGAAGCATGTTCTTTTTGTGCAAAAGTAAGGCTAAATTTCATCATTAGACCTAATGTCCATAAGAAGGGCAATGAGATATTTTTGTTGTGGCAACCCAATGCTCTGGAGTATGGATGTGCTTCCAAGACTTGCTGGACTGCAGCCTAGCTACATTGTGTGGGAGCTTTCCCACAGGACACCTTGGTGCTGCACCTCTGGTAATGTCATAGCCCTCTCCTGGGAGGAGGGATCAGCGGGATGGAATTGTTGCTCAGTATTGGCAGATGTTATCTCACTGCTATGAAACACTAATCAGCTTACCAGAAGGCTCTGGTTTCTCAGCCCACAGCTGTGGGGAGCAAGGAGAAGTAATCCGATTGAATTGGAAATGCGCGCTTGACTTTGCTTCTCGTGTCGCCTCTTGAGCCATAATAAAGGGAGAAGCACTTGGGAAGCAGGAGCATCTCATTTAATTTGTGCAGTGTCAGGGGAATGGTGTCCATTTCCCAGCTGGTTGCATATAACGTGGCACCTCAGAACCAGCTGTTTTGAGGAATGTGTCACTGCCGTCCACGGGTCACAGGCAGGCTGGGTGAAAAGATGGACTGTTAGCAAGCAAGGCAATTTCTCATTGCAAAGGGTGGTTTAATGTATCACAGCAAGAAATTAGCTAGATTCTGTGTTTTGCCTACCCCCTGCTCATGCTGTTAGTGCACTGAGATGACTTTTGTGTTTGTGTCCTTGAGAATCAAGGAAAAACTTCTGCCAGAATGTTTTGGGAGATGATGACAATTCAGAGGTTTTACAGAACTGGGCATTGGGAAAGCTTAAAAAAATGGGGGTTTTTCCTCCAGTGAGTGCTGGTGCATATGTCTGTTTCAGTAAGTGTCTTCCAAATGTACAAGTAATGTTTCTTCATGGCTGAGTGAAATAAAAGCTCTTGAAGCTTTAAAAGGCAATTTGTAATGTGTTGATGCAAAAATGGCACCAAGTTCTGCTCATGGATATTTCACCAGAAGCAGGTGGCATAGAGCTGCTTCAGTAGCATGAGTTAATTGCAGCAGTGCTAGGAAATGAATGGGGTTCTGTTTCCCTCCTGTGATCCCATAAATAGAATTCCTGTTTAAAACCAAATAAAGGTACTTGAGCTGTGCCAGTTGGTATCTCAGCCAGTGGGATTTTATTACTGTTAATGATGTGCCATAATGGAAAACACAAACTGAATTTGTAGGACAAGGATAGATGCAGGGTCCTTGCTTCTAACTGTCCATAGACATCTGGTTTGGAAGCACAAGAGATGGGGTACAGAACCTTTCTATGTTGGATTTTAGTCATCTTTTGGAACAAAACCTGTGTTTTAAAAGATGCCCATAAAGCAGTAGATGTGTTTCAGGACATAAATATAAGCTCTTTATTAACTTGTGTGGGATCTTTTTTTGCCATTTATTTTCCATTCCTTTTCAAGTGTTTTAACAAGCAGGTTTAACCCCATTCCACATTGTTTTCTGTTTCCAGACATGAATAAAGCGTGCAGCCCCACATAACACACTGATGGCATTCTGTGCTGCGTCGGGATCAATAGGTCAAGAAGGTGTGATGCCTAGGAATCTCCTGGTGGATTCTCCTGAAATGGCATCCGAAATCTCTCCGGAACACACACATGGGAGCACGGAAAGGACTGCCAGTGAGGAGAACCACGGCAGCCAAGCTAGGTGCAGAAATCTTGCCTTGGTAAGTGTTTAATGAGCCTTGTGCTTAGTGATACAGATTACATTAATAGCTCTGTCCCACATCACACAATTTTTGTTTTATTAAGATTGATTTCTGCCATTTCTAATCCTAAGTGGTCGCTGGTGTTGTCTCGGTTGTTAAACTCAAAGTCCAGAAATAACTTCTCAGCTCCAGTATAACAGCTTGTTATTCTGGTCTGATTGTCTCTGAGAGCTTGGAGAGTGCTTCTCTCCAGCCCTTCCTCCCAGAGAACCAGGAACGGCAGTAAGGGCTTCTCTGCCCTTGCTTTCTTAAACAGCTCATAAAGAAACTTAAAGGATAGTGGTTGTTCTACACACTGCTTCTGCTTAATCTCTTTGTTGACACTCCTGAATAAAGGTCTCAGCTTATACCACCTCAATTAGATGAGTAACAAATATGTCACCATAAACAAAGCTGTGCTTGCATTAGTGAGTATGAGTGTGTGGTCATTTAAATCGTGAGTGAGTAACTGAGGGAGTAGGATGCACTTCTGCATTCTTCCCAATTAGCAGGGTGAATCAGGCAGTGAACTCAACAGTACACTTTGTACTGTGACAGGCTAAGCCTAGAAAGCACAGGTATGGTTCCTTCCATATTTTTTTTTACCATCCCAACCATTTGAAAAGCATCCGTTTTTAGTTGAGGAAAGAGCACTCTGGTAAACGTGCTTGCTTGGAAATCTAAATCTCTGTCTTGCCTTAAATATGGAATTAGGCTTTCTGTCTCCTTCCCTCTGCCCTCCCTTTTAATGTGGTAGTTTTTTGTGAAAGAGTAAGTGGCAAAACCTGTATTTATCTGTATACCTCAGATACACTCATGGTTTTGTGCTACTTTGTGAGCTTTCTGGAAGCCTGAAGGCAATTCAAATGTGGGTCCTCGTTGTTTCTACTGAAAATATTTGCTGTTAATATGACGCTGTATCCTTCAGCTTGTGTTGCTAGTTAAGACACAAAACAAGTATGACAAAATTTAGTTCCTTAACTGTTTCTGATCTGTTAAAGAAAAGAAGTTATGAAGGGCAAGTACATCATTTGGACTCGGGAAGTTAGTGTATGGGTATTTGTTTTATGAAAACTGGTTGAATTTTAGAGAATTATGGTGGAAGTAGTACTTTGCTGGAGACAACTTAATTTTATGCCAAATTGCAAGTTAATTTTGCTTATTACTATACCACTAGTTTCCAGGTTAACACAGTAATAGTCAATCATATTTCCTTGGGTTTTATTCTTAGCTGCAGTAGCAGACATGAGACTAGACATTTGAAAAAATCAGTATTGAATAACAAAGCTATGTATAAATCAGTTTGTATGGTCTCATCCCAGGTCTGCTGTGTCAGAAAATGACGTAAGTTCCCTTAGTCCAGCTAGATCCTGCCATGTGATAACCCATAGGATGATGCATCAGCTAGAATTGGAATCCCTTCCTACCCTGTAATGCAGTAATTTATAGATGGACTAAAGTTAGCTGCAGGCTTAGGCCATTCCTATCAGACCTGTGAATCAGCAGTTCACAGAGCCTTTGATTTGTCTTATTTGAGTTTGTACATGAAGACAGTGAATTGTGTACCAACAAACTTAATTGGGACACCACAGATCCCCTTCCATGATTTTTCTTCCAGCAGTGTAGTAGGTCCAACAAGGCTGATAAGTTGCATGTGTGGAGTAACAGGTTGGACAGTATAAACTCTATACAGAAATCCCAGTTTCTGAATTTGGGAAGGGGTCTGTGTTAAACTGAACATGAAGGAAATGCTGCCTATTCTGCCTCATTGCTGGAAGATTCTCCTAGAGACATCATCTTCTTGCTTCAGTAGTTTTGTTATAAAAGTTCAGAAGATGCAGAAGCTTTGATGGCCTAATGAGAGGAAAGGGGTAGATAACTCTGTGTAGACAAAGAATTTATATTCTGCCAGTTCTGAGAAAGGTAGGGTTTTATTTTCAGGCACACTGGACCTTCACTAGACCCTGAAACAGATGCTACTAAAGACCTAACTGCCTCTTCATTTATCACTTTCCTGGGTCTGTTCACCTAGAGACATGGCAAGAAAGGTCAGGGTTGGCTTTGATTTTTGGGGTTTTTGTAATGACATTGCAAAGGAAAGAAGCGTGACAATGCTTGTTATGATAGTCCTGTGCTGCTCCAGGTTTCTTACTACTTTACTGTAAAAAACAGGCTCTTAAGCTTCTCAGTGTCAAATTGCATTAGTTACTAAATATAACCTTTGTATTGCATCTGTGGAATTCAAACAAACTCAGGGATGTGGTAATAGGGACAAACACTTGGACGGGCTTTAGGCTTTGCTGACTGCTCACAGCTGGTTTGGGTGACTCCTGGCTGGTCCTGCATCCTGTGTGTCTGTGCTGGCATCGCTTGCTGGGAGCTGGTTCAGTTTAGGAATGACTAGGAGATGGACATCAATTTCCATGTGCTAAAAAGGAATAAAAATTCTGTATGTGGGATCCTTCCCAGTCAGCTGTTGTCACTTCAGTTTAATTTTGCCAGATTTCTCAGCTTCTCTTACTTATATAGTGATGCTTCCAGTTAACTTTGAAAACTGCAGGCCTCTAAGCCAAATTCGTTATTTTGAAAGGAAAGCAAGATGCTGCCTTGATTTTAGGAGCACTTCTGTAGAAATTTTAGATGTTCAGCTCTGGACTTATTTGGCCAAATCTGTCACAGCAGGTTGAAGTGAGATGGGAGAAATTCATCTCTTGATATCTTCATCTCACATGACCATTAGTAACCATAAAAGCTGTTACATATGAGGACTGCTTTGCACATATATTTTGGTTTCTTTGATAAAAAGAGGTATCCATATATCTGCTTGAGAGAAGTGTATTTTCTTGATGCATGTAATCAGTTGCACTTACCCAAGGATGAGGGCAAACAAAAACACTCTATTCTTGGCAATTCTAGCTTCCAAAACCCAGTCTGTAATGACACTGCCAGACATGTGGTATAAGAATTAACTTGCCATGAAATACAGTTGCAGCAATTTAAGGACACTTGATTTGGAGATAAAACTAGGTCTTGGGGTTTTTTTTTGAAGCAATTTGACTTGTTCCATTGACTGAATAGGCACAGACCAGCTTCTTAAAGCCAATCCTTCTTTCAGTGCTTGTCTCTGGTAATTGGACTGGTATCTATTCTCAGCCATGAGTAACTGCTTTAGTTTCTAAGTGTGAATAATGTGCTAGGACAATTGTGCTACCTGTGAAAACCATGGCAGAGGTGCTGGTTGTACCTGAAGTGATCTGTGCTAATTGGAACTGCATTAATAATAAGCTGTGTCAGTGCCTTGGATCTGTTGCTACAACTTCAGTGCTTTACCTTCTGTATCTGAACATGTTTTACTGAATGATAGCTTTGAGGGATTGTGAGTTCTTGTTAATCTTGGTGGATCACACTGTGTTAGATATTTTATTTTTTTGCCTTTGGATCAGACAGATCCTTGGTTAATGCCACAGTTCACTACCACTCTTTTTGGGGTAGAGGTGGCCTCTAGAATTTGTTCAAGTGACTATTTCATTTGATCACTAATCAAATGGCTTAAACTGGGAGAGGCCATGACTCTAAAGAGATTTTGCTTGTTCTGATTGTTATTTCTTCAAACAAGCTTCCTCTCTGGCTCTAACAAGACTTCATGGCCAGTCACTGAAGATGGTTTGTCACTCCTGGATCCCTTGTATAGCACAGGTGACATTCTGAATGTTGGTGACGTAGACACGAAGCACAACTATGCTGTGAGTAGTCTGAGCTGGCTCAGTGTTTTGTTTCACACACTCAGCCATTTAACTCAGGGGTGACTTGGTTGTTTTGTAGTTATGGTATCTCTTGCAGCCTAAAAATTCTTTGTTATGATCCTTATCCTTTTCTGGATCAGTACAGATAATTCAGGTGCAACAGACCTGGCATTCTAAGTGTGCCATGTTGGTATTTCTTTACCTCAGCCTCCCTGAAGAGAATCCACTGGGAATCCAGTTTGGACTTAGGGGTTCTGGAAGAGGATAGATCATGTGTCTGTTAGCCCACTGCCACCTTTTTTCCTCACAATTTGAATGAGTCTTGTGATGCTGAGCTGCACTTCAGGTGCATTCAAGGGAAAGTCCTGAGAAAGACTCCTTTCATAAAATTAATATGTTTTTCTCCCTTGACACTGATACTCCACAGGCTTTACTGGATTACAAGGCCTTTCACCATGTCCAGGGACTTTGCCAAATAACAATACACAAAAAAAATGAGAAGAATTTTTGACTGTTTGCTTTGTATGGATACAGCTGCCTTGGGGCAGGTGGAAGCCATTCCTTAGAGGGTGTGGAGAGAGCTATGCTATGCTTCATAAACTGATGTTGGTATGACCTGGAAACAGTGTGCCTTGGAAAAATAAAAGCCTGACTCCTAGCAAGGAATGATCTTGCTGTAAAATGTGTTAGTGAGAATACAGATCCTAAAGGCAGTTTGGGCTCTGTGCACAAACTGTATCATTGTGCTTCAAAGCAGGATCTGGTAGAGATTATTACAGCAGGTGGGCAAATCTGCTTTTTAAACCATGCTAATAGGCATTACTGAACTTCCAGAGTGTTTTCTTCATATATTCTGATACTTTTCACAGAATATTTGCATTAAAGTTTCTGTAATGTGAAAGTTAACTTCTACTTGTCTCACCGTCAGCTCATGTAAGAGATTTGTTGCAATTATAGGGGGGGTCAGCTTTTTATATCTTAAAATCCACAGAGGGACACCGGGCTGCATCTGCCCACCACCCATTCATTCTCTCCTGTTTTAAATGTAAAATGGTCCATGATTTGAGCCTTCCTGTGCAGCTAAGCTTGGAGCACTCCGTGCTTTGTTCTGGACTCTGTCCAGCTTGGCTGCATCCTTTCCAAAGTTCAGCAACTGAATCTGAAGTCTGTGTTCCGAATGAGGATGTGCTGTCGTGTCATCACCCTGGTTAATATATCCCAGAATGAGATCTGCATCCCTGAAAAGCAGATTTTTTCCCTATTTATGGCACTTAAATTGACAGAATCACAGATTGCACAGGTACCTTGCAGTAACTTCATCTCAGCATCATTTTTTTATTCATCTGTGAGTTCATTTTTGGGGGCCATGTCATAAAGGTTTAAAAGCAAGGTATGTGACATCTTGTACTTAACATCTTGTGGTCAAGTCAATAACCCTCTCATGAGAAATGAGTTTGGTGTGAAATTACTTGATTTTTAATTAAAATTTAGTGGCTTTTGCGTGACGTGTCTCCTCATTTTTCTCAATGTTGGTCTAACAATTTCTTTTTCCTTTCAATTTCTATAGGCTGATCAGCCTAATTTTGTTTATCAAAGAGACGTCTTCAGAGTTTAAGCAGATATTCAGTTTGCTTTCTTTAAAAGTAGGTTGGGAGTAATTTAGTCAGTTTATAACTGTAGCTCATCTAGTTTATCTGTTAAGTACTTGTAGATAATTTGTTTCCTCGCTTAGGACCTATTGATTATATGCTTTGCTACCTCTCATGAAGCACAAAGGCACAATTATGCTTGTAAACTGAAGAAAACAGCACTCAATATTATAGTCTTCTTCGTCAAATGAAATGGTACTATCAGAACCATCAGATAGTGGGTTGTAGAGGAAGCACTTTTTGACACAGCACACAATTACACTCTGGAACTCCCTGCCACAGAATGCTGTGCATGCCAGTCATTTCCATGGCTCAAACAATAAGATGAATTCACGCTAGAAAAGCTCATTAAGGGCTATTAAATACACAGATGCCAATGCATCTGGGAAATCTTTAAGCCATGTGTTGCTGGAAACTGGAAGGATTTAGGGGAGGAAAAAGTATACCCATCCAATATACAGCAACACCTCCCACAACTTCTCTCCTTAGTCCTGTGTGTTCATAGCTGCTGAAGCTAAATGGGCTTTTTGGTCTGATCCTGTGTAGTAGTTCATGTTCTTACTTGTAATTCACATGCTTCCAGCTTCAAGAACACAGCAGTACAATTCATTCAGTTTCCCTTTCCCGTAAATCTAGTCAGAGGTACTGGACTTCTTCTGTGCTAAAGCTTTTATGTGTGTTCTGATACAGTTCCTGCACGCAGGGCTTTCCTTTTCACCCCTTCTAAAAAGTAGAACTGCCTTGATACTAACAGACTGTGGCCCAAGTGGTGCTACACTGACCTTAGAATAGTTTGCTCCCTTCATGATTCTTTTGAGAAGCACCCAGTCACTTCTTTCTTATGGCATTGTGCCTGTTAATTCTTCAGTGAAGCTGTCAAGTGATTGATAAATCACTTGAATCTGGCATTCTCCTGGTATTTTGCTAGTTGAAGTTTGGTTCCTTAGCAGGTTTTAGAAGATCTTTTAAGCACTGCAGATGTCTTGGGATCTCCTGTGATGTTCTGTTTCTGTCAAAACTGTGCTAGTCTTAGGATTTTAGATCTGGATGTGATGTTCAGAATTTCTACAGATGTGTATGAAAAATTGTGGGTTTCTGGATATTAAGTCCTTGTATTGAACAGGTAGGAAAGGAATCAACAAATCTTTTCTAGGAAATATATTCTATTCTTGTTTTCTTTCTCTTATTTCTTTATTTTTCCTCTTTTATATCAAACAGTGTTATAACACTCTTTCCTGTTTGGCATAAGCAGGAAATGTTTGGCTGCACAGAGATCTAAAACATTAATGCCAGCTGAGCATACTTGGCTATTTCATCTGTTTTCATCCCAAATTTCTTCTGTCTGAGCAGTCTTTTTAATCTTTGTAATTTAATGTAATTTTAAGCTGAAGCACAATATTCAAGCTTCAAATTCAGGCTGTCTTTTGACAGTAGTTTTAAAGTTTGTAGTGTTAGGTGTATGTGAGATTTAGTTTAGGGAGGTGTGTTTGTGTATCAAGAGTTAGGGAGTAGATGGAAACTATGAGGTGAATAACTCAAGTAGCTTGAAAGACTTTTCCTTGACTATTAAAAAACACAGATTCATCAACAAAAAAGGAGGCCTGGAAAACCAGCCTGGAAAGAATATGAACTGTTTCAGTACTTGGAATATATGGAAAATTAACTAATTTACAGACTTGGTAGCCTTAGTTAAAACAGGCACCTTTAAGTTACAAAAAATCCTCCCATCATTCTGAAGGCTTTACTATAATACAGGTAGTAATAAAGCAAGTAATACAGGTGGGAATAAAGCAAGTCACTGCTTGCTTTACATCTCTGAGCTCCTTTGGTTTGACCAGCCTGAGTAGGTTTTTTTTTTCCCACTATGATTGTGTGTCTAAAATGGGATTGTTTCCTTGGCTGGCAAACTGAAACATATCTGGCCTGAGGGAGTTTCTATCCAGACTGGATGCCTTGCGTCTCACTACAGTGCCCTGACTTAACACTGCTTGTTCTCCAGAGCTGTTGGTTTTGGTTTTGTTGTTTGTTTGGGGTTTTTTTTTCTGATGAAATGTGACATTGATCATCTTGAAGGGAAACTGCATGAGGAAACAGATCGAAGTGCTAACAGAGATGAAGCTGGTCTTTCACATCCTGGTATGCTGTTTATTACAAATGTGTTTGTAAAGAGCTGGTTACTCAATTTAAATCCTTTACCTAAAGGGACACAGCAAGATCCACAAGAGATGGTTAAATCAGGCAAAGCTCTCCTGCAAATCTTTCCTATCATGGAAATATGTTCAGTTTTGCAGCACAGAAAAGGATGGAAGGAAGTGCTTTTGGAAGTCTTTGCTTCCTTGCTTTATTCTTTGCTCAGCTCTTGATCAAACAAGTTAAGCTAATGTGGGAGCAGTTTTTTTAGGTGCACACAGTAATTCCTGTACCACACTCTGGATTTATTGCCACTATGAACTTCTTAAACACAACCCCCCCTTCTTTTCTTTTGCCTGTGTAAGTCTGGCTCTTGCAATGAGCTTACCCTCAACAAAAGCTCTTGGAGTCCTGTTCAGCTCCAGCTCAGGGCTACCTAACAAGGGCTCTTTTCCTGTCATTCTCTCGCCTACTAGACATAGCAGCCCTATGAGTATTTGGGTGGGGAAGGAAGGAGATTGCAACATCCATTAAGGAAAAAAAACACACACACAGAAAAAACCCAAAAAAAAAAAAAAAAAAAAAAAAAGGAAGGCTTGTCTGTCTCTTGCTTTTCAAGTGCAGCTGTAAAACTTTCCTTGGCCTTTGAAAACTGACATGTGGTGGGTGCAAGCTGTGGACTACGTCAGCCTTTGAAGTTCATCTTTTAAACCGGCAGTGGCAAATGGCATCCAAATTTTAGCTTTTGTAGCAGCTTTGCTGCAAGCTGGAATAAGTTACTTATTCTGACAGTACACTGTGGATATTAAAACTAAGTTAGAAATAAGAACACCTCTGTACATCTTTCCCACCCACCAAATGTTCTATTGGCCACACAGGCTAAGAGCCTCAAACCATTTATTTTCTCATCTGTAACATTCTGAGTGCTTGAAGCTCAACTGCCACTGGGTACAATGTAGCACATTATATTTCTTAATCTATAGGCATTATTTTGGTACAGAGCTACGTTGTTCTTATTTTTAGTGCTGAGAATGGGGATAAAAGCATTGTTTGTGCAAGGAGTTAACAGGTAGAGCTGCACGCAGGTTTTTTTAGTCTAATCTAGTGTAAGATGATCTGAACAGGCACGGTGAGTTTGAAGCAAGTTGTGCTGCCCTAGCAAGAATGTGCTACCTATTGAATATTTGTACTGCATACCTTTATGTATTTACCTAAATTCTCCCAGCCCTCCACTGAGGAGTAGCCTTTTTACCCTGTCTGCACGTGCAGTGAGGTGTCCTTGGTGCTTCTTGTTGAGTTACTGACAGCAAAGTTTCCAGTATATGCTTGGCAGGGGAGAAATTCAGTCCAGAAAAGGGAAAACCTCACTTGCTTTTCAACAATATATACTTGCATTCCACAACTTACACAGGTCTCTTGGGAAATGTCTTTCCTGTATCCATTGTCTTAATGCAGTGCCTTTCTTAATCATTCTTTGTCATCTCCAAGTTTCTGGAAAAGTGAGTGTTTCCAAGGGTGGAGTGAAAAGAGTTAGAGCATTGCTGCCCAGCTTCACACAGTGATAATGTGTTAATCAAGTTAATTAAGAGCACTGACTCAGAGAAAATGAATACTGGATAATCCAAGCGATTATTTATCACTTCTGTGGTCTACAGGATTATTTCCTGCTGAAGAAAATAGCCTAAGGCACTATACTGCTAGGGAAGAGGTCTTCATGTTTATTCTTGGGTTTTCCTTTCTGTAACTCAAAGGTAAAATCTTTGGAAGCCCTCTCCCTGCTTACTATTACCTCTTCATAATCTCTTATGTACCCCTGGATAGTTTATAGTTGGTAGTGGCAGAGACACTTCTCAGCACCAGCTTTGCTTCTGGAAGTCCTCACTCTTTGGTCTTGAGCAAAAAGGGAATCAACCATTTCTGGGGCTGTCCTGAGTGCACCCTTTCCCTCCCATGTTGTTGCCCAGGCTTTGACCCTGAATCTGACACAGAACACAGTTTGCCCCAGTTTGGCATCAGGAGAAGCCATCCTAACCCCTGCAAAGGCACAGGTGCGTGTAGGACATTTTTTTACTTTTTTTTTTTTAGTAGCTCTTATGGCTTTTATGATCTTTTAGTAATTTGCTCTGTACAACTCAAATGAAGACTTCTTTGCCTAACTAAAACATGTAATACCAATTGCTGCTCTTTAGGTTTTTAAATTTTTTTGTCGTCTAGCATTGTAATGTCTAAATGTCTCTTTGGGAAGGCATCAATCTTTTTTTTTTTTTTCCCATAGGATGATGAAAGTTTGAAATACTTAACTCACGAAGAACAGGATGTTCTCATGTTCTTTGAGGAAACCATAGATGCCTTAGAAGATGACTTGGAGGAGATGGCCCTACGTGACAGTGGCATCCACTGTCAGTCTCCAAGGTCAACAGAAGAAAATGTTTCCAGTCATTCAGAGACGGAAGATATCATTGACTTAGTGCAGTCAACACCTGAGAGCAGTGACCATGAAGGTCCTTCCAGCAGAGATACAGAACCAGGTAGTTGGGTTTCTTGCAAGTGTGGGTTTTCCCTTTGATCCAGCCCTGACATACTCCAGTTCTCTTTAGAAACTGCTAAAGAAATTCTGTACCTTCCTTACTACCTCAAGATAAATTTGTTACTCATTGGGAGCTCTAAAGAGTGACTTTAATTTGCCTTGGGGTTTTTGAAATTCTTGCTGCTACTGTCACTTTTTTTCCTAATTTTTCCTTTTCCCTCATGGGGGTCATGCATCTGATGAAGTTGTTGGTTTGCTGTCTCAGTCCTCTGCCTGGAGACTGAGTTGTCACTGTTGTGCTGCTGTATTGTCACAGTCATTGCAACAAGGCAGACTGTATTCACCAACCTGTTCATGCTCTGCTCTTCTCCAAGACTTTTAAAGGTTTTTTTCCCAAGAGTTTTAAGATAGCAGATTGTTTTCAGTGTTACTCTGTGTGGGACTGAAAGGCATACGATCCTATCAGTGACTTTGTGACACGATAGCATATGGCATGTTGTTTTTGTCACCCTGTAGAGTGTGTTCTCTCTGTGTTTGGACAATGAATCTATCAGCTAGTACACACAGTGGGACATAATGTGTCCTCTCCTGGCTGTTTTAATAAAAAATAAGAACTGCAAAACTCTTATGAAAGAGCAGCCATTGAAGCACAGCGAAGCAACACGCAGAATATGAGTGAAAGGCAGAGAGAGGGCTGTGATAGTGCCACATGGTAAATGTGGTGATTGAGCTATAGCACTGCCTAAGAGATGGCATTGCTGGGACTTCTCTTATATTTCTTCTGGCTGTGTGGGCTGAGGTTGAGTTAGAAAGGTATTGAGAGGGGAGAAATGCTGCTGAAAGAAGCATTTTAGCTTGCATTCTGCTCTGTGTGAAGAGTTAATGACATCTCTGCTGCTTTGCCTTTTAGTGCTGGATGCCCCTCGGAGAGCTGAGAGCCCTCAGCCAGCCGTACCTGCTGACCTTCCCCCACACCCCCCTGCACCACCACCACCGGTGCCTGAGACCCTTCCTCTTCCTCCTCCACCCCCTCCTCCAGTGCAGCATCCAAAGTTGCTCCGTTCCATCCCCACTCCTCTCATCGTGGCCCAGCAGATCTCTGAGCAGCAGGTGGAGAGCCGGGCACGCTTCCCCGGCGCCCTCAAGGAAGGGAATTCTGACAGGAAGAAAGCCCTGGTAGCCAACGGTGATTATTGCACAGCACCCAAGCACCCTCCTGCCCCCGCCCCCAAACTGCACCGGTTCCCAAGCAACATCAACATAACAAATGTCAGTGGCAAGGAATTCAGCGAGACCATTTCCAAAGCAGCGGTTAACGTCCAGGAGCGGCGGGCGCAGGTGCTGGCCAACATCAACGGGGGAGCTCTTCTGGCAGCTGAACTGGAGGAGAAGCTGCATAAAAACGATTTCTTGTCACGTAACAGAAGTTCTTCCTTACGGGATCTCTCCTCTGAGCAAACACGCTATGAAGCCCTGACAAAACTCGGCCTCGTTAAGGGAAAGCCAGCTCAGGACCAAGTGGACCATGCCCCAAGCACTCAGCAGCTTGATGTGCAGCCCAAGCAGTCAGAGGCTGTTACCAATGGATATCAAAACATCCATGAGGTTTTAAAAAGTGAGCCCAGCCCTTTCCTTCCTATGGGCAAAACTGTAACAATCAAACCAGAGGTGGCTCTTGCCACTAACAAAGTCAGCAGCCTGCAGCAGAACACAGAAAAAAGTTGCAATGATTATAAACAACCTGCTGTAAGCCTGGACATGAGGAGGAGGTCGGGTTCGCTGCCTCGACCTTCAGGGTTTCGATCCCAAGGGATAACAGTGAAGTTTTCCGGCCGTGGCTCAACTGAAGAAGCCAGGAGAGAGGCACTCCGGAAACTGGGACTGCTGAAAGAGACAGCGTAACTTGGGTGGGAACGTTGTGGCAGCAGGGGGAAAGTCATAGCATGGCTTTGTGCTGGAACAGCCCCAACAGGATTGGGATCAAGTGGATTGGAAGAAAAAAGGGAAAGTTCTCTGCTTCAGGCAAGCCAGGAAGGTATTAAACACTGTGGAATGGCCACTTGTGTTTATCCCAGAAGGACTGGCACCACGTAGGGTCGTGTACAGCAGTGGAGTTTGGCTCTCCTTCTTACAGAGATACTCATCTGTTGCTCTTTGTGACTAAGAGGAATTTTATTTAATTAATGCTGGACTGTAGCAGGCAGCATCTCGTTAATGAAGTGTACAGTGCAGTATTGTTGTACATAGCAAGCTGAATGGCTAATCTTGCTTTTGCTCTTTCTGAAGCCAAAACAAAGAGCTCCGTCTGTCCTGCCCACATGTCTGTCTGTCCATGGGAGCTCAAGATAATGTCACAGCTGAAATTTCTGACAGTGTGACACCCTTCTGTGACTTTTTGTTGTCTGTGTTACCTGGCTTGGCTTCTTTCCCTGCCAGTGTTGGATGGGAAGTGGAGTTTTCTGCTCCCTCACTCTCTTCTTGACTCAAAACTCTGCACAGGATGGTTTCTGCTTTGACCTTCTCCTGGACAGAGCAGCCCAAGCTTTGGATGGGTGACTGCCTCACTCTGCTGCTGCACCTGGAGCCTGCCCTCCCCTCCCAGCCACCTGCTTCTCCTCACGCCTGAGCGACCCACGTGTCCAGGGAAAGGCACCGGAGAGCCTCGAGGATATGCACTGACAGCCAAAGAGTCTCCTGACAATCTGTGACCCCAACTGCTCTGTCCCAGGGAGGATCTCACAGCAGAGAAGCCATAGGAACAAGTTAACTTGGTACCAAAAGCGAGACCAGTATGTCAAAAGTCTTCTCTTTTATGTTTGGGTTCCTGGGAAGGAACTGCTACTTTTTGAACAGTAGCTGTACTACGCAAATTATAAGTTCTGTTACTTCTAAAACTATCATTTGGTCTTCCTGTAGTTTGACTGCCCTAATAATCCTCTGTTCACAGCCTTATTTGATTCTGCTCTGCCAATGCATGATAGAAGTTACAGCCAAAATTCTTGCAGGCTATGTGGAGTTTCAGGAGAGCTCCACATCTTTCCTGAATAGTCAAAGTTGGTGGTATTTTGCCTTTATTCGATAGACAAGCTGGTAAAGATGGTCCCAAAATATATTTATTTGTTAGTATGTTTTTGGGTTATTTTTAATATGGCAAAGCTGTCCTTCCACATTGCAACTCCTTCCTTTTTTGTATTACCTGAAAGCATCAAGAATAGCCACTTTAAAATCAAATGCCAAACCCTCAATTTTTTTTGGTTGTTATTCCCTCACATTTGATTTCTCAGTGTTCTGGATTTTTTTCTAAAGGGAAAAACTGACTTGCTCTCTGCACTTTCTGAAGCCTCGACCAATGCACTGCTTCTCCGTAGTAGCTGAGCAATAAACCTTGGAGAAGAGGAGGGGTGGCTACAGCAGAAACTGACACACCCTTTGGCGAGGAGCTCTGACATAACTGTGATAAACAAGTTTGTAGTTCTTGTGATAAAGTATTTCAAACTTGCTGAGCTGTACTTGTAAACGAAGCTGTCGTGAAGGAAAAACCTTTGTGTCATTCTCAACCTGCCTCATAAGTTAAAGGTTTTTTGTTGGCTTTTTTTTTTTCATTTTGTTTTGTTTTTAATTATCTGCTTGCTGCTTAAATTTTTAATTGTGTTGTTACGGTATCTGGCTGGTTCTGTTATGTAGTTATTCTTTTCAGCATTTTCACTGGGTAAGTGATCATGTTCCTCATTGTGACAGGCTTGCTATACATAAGCAATCAGTAATTAAAATATGTGGCCGTTCCTGGGCTGGCAGAGCACTTGGGCATGCATAATCAAACGTGAGAGGTGCTGCTGAAGCAAAAAAGGCTGTTTGTGTGCTGCAAGTAAAGCACAGGCTTGTTCTGCTGGGCTCTGAGTCTGCAGTCCTAAATCAGAAATACCAGGGAGCACAGAAAGTACACCCAAGCACATGCTGCAGTGCAGGCTGGAATGGAAGCTGGCACGTGGATGATACATCATAATTTATTAACATAACCTGCTAAGTAAATTTATATGTTTCATGGCCTTTGTGCTTTTAAATCCTGGTAAAGCAAATTCTTCATAATGAATGTGAAGTGTGTACGAAGCAATCTCCACATCTAATCATTTCTTGCCAGCTCTTCTTTGAGTTGTTTACAGCTGAGAGCCCTTGCTAAGCAAACGGGGGGAAAAAACCCTGACACTGTTTCATTGGAATTCAGTCTAGTTCAATAACTCTGTAATGTCACCCTACTTAAAAATACCCCAGATATTTAATATCTAAAGTTGCTGTATGCTGAATTAGCTGGATCATGTTCTCTCATCCTTTGTGCAGGGCTGTGTCCTCAACTGGTGGGAAGTGAGAGTTAAATCTTCATTAGGTAAAGCAGTTTCTGCCCAGGGAGGACTTGGAACGAGGTATTCATTGTGGCCCTTCATCATAGCAGATAAATTCTTCTCTGTGCCTAAAACTGTAGTGAGTAAAGCCATGTACTAAATGAAGTTAAGTCTAGCTGCTAATAACCTGTATATAAATTTAGCTCTATTTTGTGTATCTTGTTTTGTGTGTATATGTTGCTGTGATTTTACTTTCTTTCCCTTTGTGCTAGAGGTAACTGTCTTGCACAAATCTGATAAATCATCTATTAAACTAGAATAAACCAAATGAAATGATGGCTGATGGGAGGTGCCATTGTGTTCTTTGCCACCCAGTAGCATGACTCTTTCTTGGAGGAAGGAGGTGACTTTTTCTTAATGGCTAATACTGATTTAATAACCTTTCATTTTGCAACTGTGGATGTGTGTGAGCCAGAGCCCAACCCTGTCATGGCAGGTGCTGGAGGAGGGACAAACAAACAAAAAAAAAAGGCTATGTCTGACAAGAGATGTGTATTCTCACTGCTGAGCTTCAGTAGCTGTGATCAGTGTCCTTGCCAGAATGAAGTTCATCCTGAACAGTGTTTGAATTAGACAAAAGCTTCTCTCTCACAATGTTTTGCATTATTAAAATGACCTTTCCAAGAGGAAAATTTTATATGTGAAAGAAGAATAACATCTTTGTTTCCAAGGCTGTTACTATAAGTGAGTGTGGTCCTGCTGAGTGTGGAAGTGTTCTTGTTGCACAGGTCAAAGTCCCCTGTCAGAGATCATTTCTGCCCATCCCTTCTACAACTGTTTGCTGCTTTTCTGTCTTTTGAAGAAGGATTTCTATGTAAGTATTCAGGTGTTGTTGAGCATTTGTCCAAATATCATGTGTCATAAAAGAGAGACTAGAAATCACTCTAGGAAAAAAAATACTTCCCATTTGCTTGAGCTACTTTTTTATCCCTGAGGCTGGTTGTGGTGGTAGCCAAAAGCAGCAGCAGGTGCAGCAGCCTTGCCTCCAAGCTGCCAGGGCTGCCTCAGGGCTCAGCCATGGCAGGGCAGGTGGCCTTTTGTAATTGTGTCCAGCTCCAGCCTGGAGCCAGGCAGTGAATTTAACTTGGCTGGGTCTGTAATGAAACTTAAAGGAGGTTCCAGTGCCTCACCTGTGCTGGAGGTGAAGCCTCACAGCTGCCCCAGCACCTGCAGCCTTTCAAGTGGCTGCAGCTTGGGGAAGAAGCTTTTGATGTTTTGACTCCTGTTTTATACACACACGCATGGAATTTGTTTCCTCCCTTTAGAACAGACATCTTCAGAAAGTGTTACCCATAGAGGGATGGGGGAGGCAGCAGGCTGAGGGGAGGGGGTAGATTTAACCCTGCAGCTTGGGCAAGTTTTCAGTTTTGTTTGTGCCTCAGCAGAGAACAACTTACAACTCTGCTGAACAAGCTCGAAGTGTTGTGTAGCTGAAGCACCAAAGTAAAAGTCACAGCCCTTCCTTAGCTGGCAGCTACAAAGGAAGGGCCTTGGAGCAGGGAGACAGCACTGGCACAGCTCAGGGCCCATCCCAGGCACCCCCAGCTGCTTTTCCACTGGCCACTTTTCCAGCCACTCATCCCCCAGCCTGGAGGGATCCATGGGGCTGTTGTGACCCAAGGGCAGGACCTGGCACTTGTTGGTGTTGAACCTTATTCCCTTGGCCCATGGATCCAGCCTGTCCCAATCCCTGTGCAGAGCCTTCCTACACTCCTGCCCAGCTCCACGGCACCAGCAGACTCCCTGGATCCCCATGTCCAGTTCTTCAGTGGTGATGTTAACCAGGGCTGGCCCCAGCACTGAGCCCTGGGGGACACCACAGTGACCAGATGGCACCTGGGTGCAGCAGCATTCCCCACCCCTCCCTGGGCCCTGCCCTGGCAGGATTAACCCAGCTCTGAGAGCCACTGTCCAAGCCCTGGGCTGACAGCTTTTCCAGGAGAGTGATGTGGGAGGTGGTGGCAAAGGCTTTGCTGGAGTGCAGGGAGCCACATCCACAGCCTTCCCCTCATCCCCAGGTGGGCCACAGGAGATCAGGTTGGTCAGGCAGCACCTGCCTTTGACAAGCCCCTGCTGGCTGGGCCTGATCCATGCTTGTCCTGCATGTGCTGTGTGATGGCACTGGGGATTATCTGCTCTGTGACCTTCCCTGGCACTGGGGTCAGGCTGCCCAGCCTGTACTTCCATGGATTTTGCTTCCAGCCCTTCTTGCAGAGGAGTGTCACGTTTGCCAATTTACAACCCAGACCTCCCCACCTGGCCAGGACTGCTGGTAAAGGGTGATGGAGGGGGGCTTGGGGAGCACTTCACTGGCTCCCAGACAACAATGGGGGGCGGATCCCACCTGCCCCATGGACTGGTGTGGGTCCAAGTGCTGTAGCAGCTCACTGACCATTTCCACTTGGATTATGAGGCCTTCCTTCTGCTCCCCATCCCTGTCTCAGGAGATGTGTACCCACAGAACAACTGCACTTGCCATTCCACACTGAGGCAAAGAGGGCAGGAAGTGCCTCAGCCTTCTCCTCATCCTTTGTCACTGTTTCCTCCTGCATCCAATAAAGGATGAGGATTCTTCTCAGCCATCCTGTTGTTGCTGATGTATTTATAGAAACTTTTCTTTTTGCCTTTTACAGCAGATTAAATTCCAGTTAAGCTTTAGCCCTGCATAACCCTGATACCCTTGAATTCCTTCTGAGTTACCTGCCCCTTCTTCCAAAGGTCACACACTCCTTTTTCCCCCCGAGCTCCAGCCAAAGCTCCCTGTTCAGCCAGGCTGGTCTCCTTTCTTGCTTGCACATATTTCAGCATGTGGGATCATCTGCTCCTGTGCCTTTAAAATCTCCTTCTTAGAAGCACATCCAGCCTTCCTGAACTCCTCTGCCTTCCAGTGTTGCCTCCCAAGAGCCTCTGACAACCTTTTCAGTGAGAGGAGGCCTTTAATTCATCAGCCCTCCTCCACCTGCTCTTGCTTTCAGATAATTCCTGCATCCCATAGAGGCAAAGGGAGACAAGTCTTCATCCCAACACTGATTTCTAAAACTATAAATATCTTTTCCTCTGTGGTAAGGAGGGTTCTTAGACTGGATGGAGCCAAACCTTCCAAGGGAACACACCCTTGTCTTGTGTGCTTTGTTTTTATTTGGTCTTTTTTCTTCCCCAGAACGGGGCTTCTCTTCCCATGTTAGGTGACTCCTCCCAGATGAGGAAATGCCTTCCCTGAAAAGTCCTTGGTGCATCCCTGACTACATCACCAAATGTTCAGATGTGTTCTTACCTCAAGGGAACTGCCAGGAAAGATTATTTTCCACTGGGCCATAATTACCTGCTGCTACTTCCAACTGGCCAAAAAAAGAACACCAGGAGAGGCTTCAGTAACTTTGGGATTAAACTGAGCAGGCACAAGGAGTGGTAGATAAACCAGCTGGCAGGCTTGAAGGAGCGACTCAGCTTCATTTTCTCCTTTGTTCATGGGTCTTTGCACCTGCCCCTGAGCTTTAATGAATGTTTCACAGAGCCCCAGGAACCACAAACTAATTCTGAGTGTTCCCAAAGCTGCTGAGCCACACTTACCCAGGACCATTACTGTCTTCTCAGAGGGATGTCTCTGTATTATAAAGAAATGCAGCTGCTCCAGTATCCTCACCTGAAGGGCAAAGTTTTTTGGGTTTAGGTGGGTTTTCTCCATATTTTTTTTTTTAGTAAAGTATGTTGAAGGTTTGAATTAAAAAAAATAAATACATAAAATCCTTTGCTTGACCAGTGAGTCAGGGAGCAGCTGCAATTCCCACAGCCTGTGCTACAGCCAGCCAGGGACTCTGCTGAGCTGCTGCTCCAGTTCTGTCTGAGATTTTGGCTTATTCTCCCCTGGTACTGCTGCACCCCGTTCAGCATCACCACCCTGTGCACGCTCCAGCCTCGCCCTCCCCACCAGCTCAGCCCTGCCCCGTGCCCCACCTGAGCACTGAACCTGCACTGGGCACAGGAAGGGGTTGTCTCACCTCATCTCCTGCAGAGTCCTCCTGCCTTGTTTGCGTGTGGAGCTCAGGGGCACCTGGAGCAGGCAGGGGTGGGAAGTGCAGCTCAGCAGTGCCTTTCATCCCACTGAGCAGTGAATCCACCAGGACATCCTTCCTCTCCCTCTCCTGCTTTGTAAGTGGAGATCACAGGAGGTACTGGAAAACCATCTGGGCATAGGGCTGGGGCAGCCGAGGGAAGTTTCATTCAGACACCAGCCAGAGCTGAGGTGGTTCAGTGGTTACTGCTGGACATCACACTTCTCTTTCTGATGCCAAAACCATGTCCCTGCTCTCCCAGTAATGCACACCCCCCTCCCGCTGTCCCCACTGTCCCTGCCAAAGCCCCCACACAGACCCTTGGGAGGTCCCATGTCCTGGTTCGGCCCAGGAGGGATTCAGAAGCTCCGTGCAGCTGTGGCAGCTTCCATGAGTGTCCCCCCAGAGCCAGCACAGAGCCCTGAGCCCCCAGCCCTGCCTGGGCACAGCCCAACTCGTGCCCAGGGCAGCTGTCACAGCACCCCCTCACTGCTGGCTGGGCTTCCCGTGCAAGTCCCTTCCCTGCCTGATTCAGCCCCAGAGCTCCCTGTCAGGACAGGATTGCTCATTTCCTCACAGGGTTGGGGAGGTCAACTTCACCTTCAAATGTTCATGGTGGTTTTTTTTTTCCATAATTTCCAAGGAAGCTCTTAACTCCCTGAGATTCTGTTATTGTCAGCATCAGAAAATTGTGTAACATTTTATCTGTTCTCTGCGTGCTTATCCATTCCCACAAGGAAGGGCAAGGGCTGCGTTTCCCAGCTGGGAAACAAGGGCAATGACGTTAACCCAAGGCAAAAGAGCAGAGATGAGCTTGACCTTTGGGTTTCCAGGCTTATGGAGTAATCCTGAATCACCCTTCCTCTCCCACCACCACACCTGCCCCTTTGGTAGCATTCCCTTGGCAGCCCAGGAGAAAATCCAGCAGCCTGGAAGCTCGGGCTCACATGTGCCAGGAGCTGTTCATACTCTGATTAATGAAGATAACTCACCCATTGTACTGATGCTCAGAGGGTGGAATGACACCAGAAGGAAAGCAGTATCCCTACAAGCTGGTGTGGCGGGAGGGGAGGCTATTTCCTCACACTTAAACATCTATTAGGAAACAGTTGTCAGCACATTTCTGTTTCCACTGTCCAGCCCTGCACAAGAGCAGAGGATCCACAGTCTTCAGGCTTCACGACACAAACTTCATTACTGTGGAACATTTCCTGCCTCTTAAATGGATTTT